TTAGTGATTAGTGAACATTAGTAAATTATTACATATCTGGAAAGGAGCACAAAAAAAAATCAACTTTTCATATTGTAGGTATTGAGATTCCAGTAAGGTGAAAGAGGAAATTTTAAAATATGCAGTTTGAGCAGGAGGTAAAAATGCAAATAGACACAGCAAAATTAACAAAATAACATTAAACACTGTATGCTGAATATAATTATGATTATTTGTATCACTGTAGTGCAGTGGTCAGCAACCAGTAGATCGAGATCTACTGGCAGATCTTGGAGCCTCTGACAGGTGATCCTCACTGTTTTCGCCAAGAGTCTACCAATTGCTAGCACTTCAGCTATCCCTCTCCCAACTGCTGTTCATTTCATGTCCTTTGCCTTCGAGCTGCCCCTCCCCCTGTGGAACCACCTACTTTCTGGGCAGGGGAGGGGAGGGATAGGAGGGCCGCTGATATCAAGGTACCCCCTCTCCCACCCTATATCCAGTTTCCACAGAGCAGAGAGGGGACACAACAGGACTTGGGATGGAGTTTGCTGGCTGCTTTAGGGCGTGGTCCAGGGCTAGGGCGAGCCTGAATTAGCCCCACTACACCACCATCCAGAAGCCACCTGAGATAAGCAGTGCCAAACTGGAGTCCACATCCCGAAACCCTACCCCAGTAGCAAACCTCCTTTTGCACCCCAAACCTCTGCCGTAGCCCGGAGCACCGCTACAACCAAACACACTCCCAGCGCTTGCACCTAGAACCCCCTCCTACATCCCAACTGCCTGCTCTAAGAGCAGCTCAGAGCTGCTCTTGCACTCCAGATCTCTTAATCCAAGACCAGAACCTGCACCCCAACTCTCTACCCCAGACTGATGAAAGTGAGTGAGGACGGCCAAGAGAAGGCGAATGGAGTGAGCACGGGCAGGGCTTTGGGAAAGGGGCAGGAAGGAGGCAGGGCAAGGGTATTTATATTTGAGGTAGATTTTGGATTGAACTTAAATTCAAAAATTGATCTCATGCTTAAAAATGTTGGAGACCACTGCTATAGTGCTTGCAACCCCTGGTCTTGAAAATATACACATAATCATTTTAACAGGAAAGATAGTAAGTTAATTCAACTAAAACTGTAAAGATGTCTCAGTTCAGTGTAGGACATTAAAAGAGTTCCTATCCAGACTTAGCTGTGAGACATACCTTTACTTGAAGACCAATCATTTCACTTTGGGGGAAAGAAGCCAAGTGAAAATGTTTATCTTCCCATGGCACTTGGTTCCTGTTTTAATACAGAGCTAATTGTCTTGTCACAGTAGCAGCAAAGAGGAAGACTTCTATAGTGTATACAGAGGAGCACATTCCCCAAATGACCTTCTTTTAGGAAAATTACCCAATGCTTCCAAAAGGATCAGTCTTCTTGTGCCTACAGTCATACTGAAGCTGTACCAATGTAGCACACACAATGTGTCGACATTTCCTTCATCAAGAGAAGTGGTTTTCCCATCAACATAATCTACCCCTCCAAGAGCCAATAGTTAATTTGACAGAAACATCTTTCTGTCACTCTAGCTCAGTGATGGGCAACCAACAAGAGTGAGTGGCCTTCCTTCATCTCAGTGGGTCACAACAGCTTGCTGCCCATTAGGGTTCCACCTGCAGCCTCGTGGACTTCTTGTCTGCCTAATGCACTGGAGTCCCGCACCTTCTACTCCCCCACCTCCCTCCCAGCACTTAGCACTTTGGGAGCTCCACAAATCACCTGATTCATGCTCTGGCCCAATGCCTCCTCCTCCCTCCAAGAGCTTGAACAGCTGCAAACTGCTGATTCATGGTGTTCCAGCTCTGGGAAGAGAGGGAGGAGCAGGGACTGAGTGCAAATCAAGTGTTTTGTAAGAGAGGGAGGAGTAGGCAGTGCAGGTCTCTAGTGCTCCGGTATACAAGAGGCTGCAGGTGGAGCCTCAGTGGGCTGCCTGTGGCCCATGGACCGCAGGTAGCCCATCACTGCTCTAGCTGCATCTACATTGGCTTAGGTCATCCTAACTACAGCTCTGAGGGTGCTGAACTTTTCAGAGCCCTCAGTGACACAGGTGGGTGGATCTAATTTTTAAGTGTAGAGACTGTAGTGGTTCTGAAAATTTTGTCCATGTTTTTAATGTTGGGGGATAGGGATCGGGGGTGTGAATGTAAACACCAAAAAAGGTCAGTCCATGCAAAATTTATTCGGGGACTCCTAACCAACAAGTACCTTCAGAAGTAGGTGTGAAGCTACGTCCACAGTTTCTTTAAATGTGTTTCAAGAAACTCAGCAGGACAGAGCACAGAGAAGATTCTAGGCAAAAGCCTTACAGAAAAGCACGGAGAGAGACGTTTTAGGGACAATTCTATTATCTTTATTCTAAAAATGTCCTTTGCTTTTGGTTAGAGCATTGGCACCAGCTAGAGTGTGGAGATGTCCTTGTTCAACATCCCATAAGCCACAAAGCCAGAAAGTAGTATGGGACTACTGCGTGAAAGTAGTGGTTTAACTACTTTCAAACAGTAGTCCCATACTAAATCAGTATGGCTTTTGGAGTAATCTGGAGCATTGCTGCAGCTGCATGGACAGTGTTGGTGAAATGTGACCTGACTGTTCTTTCGTTCAAATGGAAGGGCAGTCACGCCAAATTTTCATGAGTGGCAGTGACCTGATGAACAAGACTGCAGGACCAATACAAATTTGGCCTACCTGTCCCTCTGTCCAGATGGAAAGATTACAACCTAGCATGGGGAGAGTCTGTTTCTGTAAAGCAGAGAACAGAAGACTGCTGAGAACTCAGCTGTTGGCAGCATTGGCTGATGTACTGCTTAGATAAGAGAGAGGAGAAACTCCCTGGCTGAGGGAGACCCATCCTCTCCATGGGGAGGAGGAACAGAAACAGAATTTCTCTCCCTCTCCTAAGGTATACCTTAATTGGTGGTGCCAGCGGAGTAGAGGAAACCAACCAATTTCTTTACCACTGATTCAGGAGAGCTGAAAGACCCTTAACCTAGGAATGCACAATCACAATAACTGAAAATAAAATGTTGTCAAGTCTTATTCCTCTCTTAATGTACTGATCTTCAGCTCCAACTGAGTTTTCCAATGAAGCTGGAAATCTGAAATAGCAACTCAGCAAAACACGTGACCACTGACAATATAGCAAAGAAATGGAAGCTATGGTAGGTCAATTCATACTGTCATGCATATCTCCATATTGCCCTATGTATTTGTGTCAACTATTTGTATGTATTTACCTATCATTCTTATAACAGACACCTAAAACAAACAGTGCTTTTATTTAAGTAAGCAACTGTTTAAATTTTCATTAACCAGGCCAGTTAATATTAATTAATATCAGTTATCATGAAATGGACCATTACCATGTTCTGTGAAATGCTGCAGTGAAAAACGTTTTTTTGTGTGTGCAAAATAAAAAGTTCTTAAGTGATTTTATAAAAAAAACTAATAATTTGTACACATGTAAGAGAATTTCTTCTGACCTTGAAATTGCGTGCTAAATAAATTACCTCGGAGCGAAAATGATGAGTTCTCATTACAGCATCTGGAAGGAAAAGAGAAAGACATAGGACTGCATCTGGCTTAATTTCAGACTTACTTCAATTAATGGGTTTGATTTCACTGATTGTTTTCTGAAGGTTCTTGAATGAGAGCTGAGTCTCCAAGCACAACTTGCATCAGGCGTTTATATTTAATTCATATGCTGGAAGTGGCTGGTGAAGTTCAGTGTACTTGAGAAATCAGGAGGTCCGAGCGAGTCTCTTACTTTCCTCCCACCAGCTAAGATTTCGTTAAGGGAGGGGTGGAGACTAGGCTGCCGCAGTCCTGGAAGACTCAGCTTGAATTCTCTAAAGCCCCAATAAACTGTGGCTAAGGAGCGCTATGCGTTGTTTTACAAACAATACGCAAGGCAGAAAATGAGCCCGCCTGGGAGGGGAGTTGGGGATTTATTTGTATTTAAAGAGGCTGAAATTCCTCCTTGGCTCCTTCCTTGGAAAGGACGACTCGGCATCTTACCTCGGCTCCTTGAGCGCCCTGAAAGGACGGATTTGATAGGATGCCTCCCTTTCTGGAGCTTGCGGTGCCAGCAGCAGAAAAATAAAATCGTAGCGATGGTCCCCAGGAGGAGCAGGAGCAAGAAGAGGGCACATTGGATGCTGTAAGGTCGCAGCAAAACCAAGAACGCGGCGGCGATCATGGTTCAAGCGCGTGGGTGCGGGGCTGAGCTTGGCGCGCAGACACCAGCGCGGAGCGGAGAGGGGCAGATTTCTTAGCGAGGCAGCAGGCGCAGCATTCTCCTTGCTCCGCGCGCGCCGGAATGGCTGCAGCCAGACACGGCTCCGAGCTGTGCTAGTGAGTTAGCAGCGAGAGGATCTCAGTCCATGACTCAGCAGACGAGAAGGAGGCGGCGGCGGCAGCAGCAACGCGGGTTCCCCCCGGCGGTGGCTTGTACACAGCCGGGAGCGTGAGCCAGTGCGGATGGATCAGCAGCAGCCCGCAGCTGCAGTCCTGGCTGGGGGCGCGGAGAGGGCCCCCGACTTGAGCGGCTCTTGCAGCATTGCGCCGTGCTGCGCACCTCCCGCTCCTGCATCCCAGAAATGCCCTGCTTTAAGACGGCTGCTGACACCGAGGCGATGGCTGCCCATCGCGTGGCAATTTGCAGCAGGGGTGGGAGGAGGCAGAGGAGGAGGAAAGGGGCCGAATCCCAAAGTTTGCTGCTGCTGGCTGCTCATCAGGGGGGTTTGGGGTTTGGAGTTGGCTGGCTGCTGGCTTCTGATGACATCACACAAGCTGCAGCTGCTGCAGAGGGGCGAGCGAAAATGGCTGCGGTGAGGTACAGTAAGGAGTGAGGAGGAGGAGGAGGAGGTAGAAGGAGGAGGGTTGCCTTGCAGGAGCCGGGCAGAGAGCGCTGCTCCGCGTGGGGGGCGGCGGCGCGGGAGGAGAGCACCGCTGAGGGACCAACCAGGCGTGCAGAGAGAAACAACCCGGTGAAGCATCTGCCCGCCGGCTGCTGCCTTCCCCGGGGAGCTGAAGATCTTTCGTTCCTCTTGCCGCTTCTGAAGAGGAGACAAGACGCTGGGACGCCAAACAACACGCAAAAGAAGTGACACGGTGAAGTAGCGTCTTACCCTTCGGTCCTTTCCCGAAAGCGTTGCTTGCTTTAGGCAGAGCCCCGCCTGCGGCTTGGCTCTGCCTTGGGCACGCGTTAAAAGAAGTTTCTTTTGTTAGGGGCAGATTGGTCTTGTGTCGTCTTGACACAAAACCTAACCCGTCGGCACTTTCCATCCCCGTGCATGCAGGTTGCAAGATTGCCGGGGGGCGAGCTGCATTCCCAAGAACTTTTATTTGCTCAAGTCTGTTTTAAGCAAATGTTGCGGGGAGGGGGGAACTCTCACTGGTGTCTGGTATTTTACTGCTACCAGACGTGCTGTGCAATATAGCCTGTAAAGAGCGAATGCAGGGACACAAGTCAAAAACCGTGTCCTGAGAGATCTATAACGCTATGAATCACTGATACGTGCATTACTGCATTTTGATACCTCATCTTTTGCATGGAGGTTTATTTCTGTTGCCTGCTTTGGTACCATAACCGAGTACTGAAGCGATCGTGCAGTTTGTCCTTCATACAAAATGCCGTTTTTATATTATAAAATACAAGCAACATATACTGTAACAGAACATATAAACATAGTTTGCTAAAACATTTTATATATTAAAACCCCATTGGGAAGTTCCTTGGTGCTGTGGGTTGCTGCAGGAAAATCAGTTATATCAGAATGCCAAATATACTGGCTTCTTGCAGTAATCTGCAATTTGCTGCAGCAAATGTCACCTCCAGTGGTCTTCACTGCACAGTTATGTAGTGGTTAGAAACTAAATGGATCCTATGTACTATTGATGCATATAACAACTATTTTTCAGTATTTGTAATTGAAGGCATAATGCATTAAAATTGTCTTTCAGAAATTATACACAAATACAATACAAATCTCGTGTTTTATATACAGAATGAAAAATGCATCTACATTTTTGTAATATGCAGTAATATTTACCAGTATAATCCTAAAAAGTTATTTTATCTGACTTACATAAACACAATTCAGTGAAACAGTATACAAACTTTTATTAATAATCAAATGCACTTTATATAAATCAAATTGCAGTGCGAGTTATGTATTTTTATAATAAAAGCTGTGTAAAAGTGTGTTTTAGGTGGTCTCGTAGAGTATTATAAATCTAAGTTTATAGAAAGAAACATAATTGTGATTCTTTGAGTAAGAATTGTGATTCTTTGAGTAGAATTATCTAGGGAATTCAGCCTATTTATTACTAACTTGTATAACTGCTCAGTCAACTTTTAAGATTGTGGAAATCCATTTTTAGTGGAGCTGTTTTTTCTGGACTCAAACTAATGGTGGGTGGTATGTCTAACCCAGGAAAAGAATACTGCTGGTGTTATTTCAGTTATTAAATATTTCATTCCACATTTTTTATAATGTGATTGTTTATCCTGAATTTTTTTGTAGTAACTGCATGGGTTACAGGGACTATAATACATTCTTCATTATCTAGGAAATGACAGATGCTATCAGGTTACATTGCATCATGATGCAACAGTGAAATAGTTCCTGATACCGCAGTGCACTGCAGTAAAGGCAGTATTAATGCAGATTACCTGGATATTATTTAAAAGGTTCATGTTGCCTCACTTGAACATGAGACAACTCAATGAAATATCCATTACAGCACAATACCTATTGCTGTGCCTTGCAATATGTTACAGTCATAAAAAACTTTTCATCATTTTTTACTCATCATTGATTTTATGGTAACATGTTGGGAGATCCTAGGAAGAATACAGGAACAGTGATCATACAATATATTGCTATAAATAAGAGCCATGGAATGTAGATATTTTCTCACTATCTCTGGATAGAAATGGGTAGAAGGCATTTGGCAGTAAGTAAGGCTACATCTACAGCTACGAGCTTACCCCGGGCTTCTAGTAGCATGCAGCGTGGCATGGAGCCGAGCGTCAGTGGGGGACTGTGAGTCCCCTGCTGACCCAGGCTCCATTGCATTGAAATTCACAAGAGCCTCTGAATCAGCTGCGTGCAGCCCCAGAGTCAGCAGTACTTCCCAGTGGCTCTGGGCTGTAGGCGGAGTTCCACATTCCTCCTTTGAAATGTACAAGAGCCCCAGGAATGTGGAAGTGCCTATCAACTAGACAGTTAACCACTATTTAAGATCCTTAGTGTAGACGCACCCTAAATGTGTAATATTGGTTCATTTTGAAGGCAAAAGCTGTAACTTTATTACTAAGAGTTATTGCACCAGCCTCATATTGGTAACGTGAAGATACTATTTTGCCAAAGAGTCATGATAAATTTCAGTACATCCATTTCTCTTTTGAATTTGAAAAATGTAAAAGGGAATACAATTTGTCAGATAGTGATGGCTGTTGGCTTCAGATCCCCCAGAAAACGGGGTCATTCCCCTCATTTATATTGGCCTTTGCTGTGTCTCTGTCAACATCTATATTATTTAATGATTCTGTCTTTACTAATCATTTTCCTCTTTTGTACAGGAGTTAAAATATTATTCGTCACTTACACTAGTCAAGAAAATTAAGTAATCAAAGGGAGTTAATTTTTAAAAAATGAAAAGAGTATTAGTTATTTAAAAAATATAGATAGAAAAAATAAAATATCTGAAAGATAAAAAGAACGTTTTTATTTGTACAGCAGCTTTTATACAATCTTCTTCCCAAAAATGCTTTTCAGAGGAGCAATCTTAATACAGGAATGAGCACTAATTCTAGAAGGGGGGGGACACTTCACAAATTTTTGAAGTGCCCCTGTCCCATCCCGGCACTTCCATGCTCCCCCAGACACTGACTGGTCTGGGGTGGGGGAGCGCATGAAGTCTTTGCTCCTACCCCCCAGAGAGGACCCCCAGCTGTTCAGAACAATTAGTGGTTTCCCCTAGGCACCCATGCCCTTGGCCGCAGAAGGAGACTTCGCATGCTGTCTCCACCCCCAGGTCAGTCAGGGCTTGGAGGCAGGAGGAGCATGCAAAGTCTCTCGCTCCCTGCCCCCACCCTGCAGGAGTGAACTGCCAGCGGAACAGGTGGAGGTTTATTCTAAGTGCTGCATGCCTCTTGCAAGGCGGGAGAAGATTTTGAACACTCCCCTGTCCCCGGGCCCTGATTGGCCTGGGGGTAGGAGAGTGATAGGGCGTCCACAGTCTGGATCAACCTGCTTGGTGGGCTGGATCTGACCCGTGGAGGCTCTCTTGCCCACTCCTGTCTTAATACAGTTGCAGTTTTATAATTGGATAGGAGAAGAGAGGCAAAAATAAAGAGAGCAAGTTAAAAGAAAAAAGATTTTCTTTTTTATGTGAGATTTGATATCAGAGGAAGAGTGTTTGAGCTGGAGGGATACTGAAAGCTGTTTCAGAGCAAGAGATGCAGGGTAGAATCTCTAAGACCAACGATGGCAACAGTGTGTGAAATGATAGCCATTGCTGAGGCTGAGAAACAAGGTCCTGGAGACAGACTAAAGCAAGTCTGAAGGGTTTTATGAACAAGGAAGCAATTTTGAATTGGAGAGCAGAGCTGGTGTTTAGGATGTGCATGATGTGGCTGTACTTCTTCATATGTATAAGGTTAAAAGTAGCATGGTGTACGTGCTGGAGCCTGGACAACTGACATTTAGTGGAGTCATAGAGAAAGAGAGTTGAACAATCAAGGTGAAAGTAAACAAAGCCGTGATGGGGTAAGATTCAAACTGATGTTTAGAAGAATTGTGTTATGCATAGCACTAAGAGTTTTACTCACACTGGCAGTGTGGTAGGACAAAGCAAGTTCCAACCAGGAACTCCATGGTTATGGATAATGAAGGCAAATTGAAGTTCAGACTGAAGGAGGGAGATGGGTGGTGTTCGAGGATGGACCCAAGTTGAAATCATTCTCATCAGATAATTTCACACAGTTGGTTTAACCCTTTGCAAAAGAGAGGGGAAAAGTTGTATAGAAAGATTTTGGGTGAGAAGCAAGGCACAGAGGTGTGTCACGTTACTGGATTTTAAGGGGATCAGACAGGTCACTGCTGTACCCGTGGGGGGTTGGGGGTTGCACCAAGAGTTGGTATAAAGGGGGCCATGTGAGGTGTCAAATGAGAGCTTATGTTCTACTGATTCTGTATATGCTATTCATGTACTTGTATGATATCTGTGTGTGGAGTTATAAATATGTACTCTATGTTGATGCTGGAAGGTTCTCTGTTTGAGGCAGAGCAATGGGCAAAGAATGTTCAGCCAGTGGCTATGCTAATTAGCAAGGCTCCAGAGACCATAGATCTCTAAGTGCCAGAGACACACCTGAGAAATGTCTGGATACCTGCAAGCCAGCCAGAAAAATGGTTGCTGACTTTGGACACAAGGATAGGTCAATGGACCATATGACCTGCCGTGACCTGCTACAGCTTGGAAGACACCAGGAGGGTATATAAGTGTCATATGGCACCCTCCATCTTGTCTTGAGTTCAGCTCCTGATCCCAGATGCAGCATTGCAGGGAACGACGAGCCGGGAAGAACAGTGGACCCATCCTGACATAGGATGTACACCAGAGACTTTTAAGAAAGCAGTTTATAACATCTCTGATAAGAGCATGTATCGAGAACCGAGTGATTCGATGCATGTAATGTATTCTCCTTAACAACCTTACTCTCATGCTTTTCTTTCTTTTAGTAATAAACCTTTAGATTTTAAATTCTAAGGGATTAGCTCAGCATGATCTTGTGGGTAAAATCTAGAGTGTAAATTGACAGGGACCTGTGGCTGGTTTCATGGGACTGGGAGAATCCAATCAGGGTAGGTGAGGTTGGGTTCTAAAACCCCTCATCTGTGTGTTAGGCCCAGGGCTGACTGGGGCACAGGAAGAGCTGGAGTGCCAGAGGGGTTTTGCTCGTGGGGCTCCTGGCTGGCCAGATTGGCAGCTGAAGTGCTCGGCATGACTGATTTGTGGCCTGTTTGGGAAGATCTCCAGTCTGGGGCTGTAAGGAGCCCTGAGTTTGAGCAATTTGCCTTGAGTGGACGCCCTCAGCTGTG